ACAAATTATATTTTTCTCTAATTAAATAATGCAAAGCAACTTTTCCGTAATAAACCAACGCGTTGTAAAAAGACGTTTACTTTTTTCTAAGCAAAAAACGTGCTAATCAAATATGTTCAGGTTCAATATGAAGTTTTTGTGACACAATGTAGTACAGTTATGATATAATGCTACTCTCTATGAAAAAAAAAAGGCAAAAATAAACGACCTGCGATGGCCGGGAATCGAACCCGGATCAACTGCTTGGAAGGCAACTATGCTGACCATTACACCACCATCGCAGTTGAGAAACTACATACTTAAAATAGTAAAAATATATAATTTTAATTATAGAAAATAAAATAATTTTGATTACAAATAAAATAAATTTCTTACTCTTAACGCATTTTACTTTATCTAGCTAATCGCACAATGAATGGTATTAAAAGTCATATTACATTACGGAATATATTGTCTCCAGCATAGAAAAACTTCTTTTTTTTTTGTATCATTATTATAAAAAAAAGAAAGAAAAAGGAAAATTATGTTTAGCGCTTAAAAGATGTGATAAAAAAAAATACATCAAAAATATTAATTATAAAAAGCAAAAAATGAACCCTGCGATGGCCGGGAATCGAACCCGGATCAACTGCTTGGAAGGCAACTATGCTAACCATTACACCACCATCGCAGTTGTTTAAAGGAATCCATATACCAAAATTCTTTGGTCACTGTATATATATATATACATTATATAAAAATATCCATATTCGAATATCTCACTTGAATACGTCATCTTTTTCATTCCAACAGCTTATACTGATCTCTCAATGCATTTCACTTCATACACCTCGAAGTTCCATAAGATATTAATCCTCCCCTTTATACTATGATTCAATTATAAAAAATCATACATCGAAGATGCATTTAATTTCAGTTATCCACTATACGTTTGTACCATCCGCGATAAGATTGGCCAAAAATTTTAGAAATTCCTCGAATTTTCTGATAAAACGCATTATTTGAAATGTAACAATAGTCGCGTGATAAGTGTGCATACAGGAGACCCTCCTATAACACGGTAGATAGGTTCCTAGAAAATGTCGTGTTGCGTGAAACCGTGTTGTATGAGACCCAGAGCCAGTACGAAAAGGGGGGTTACGTTTCGAAAACTTACTAAAAACAAATTTCTTTTTTTTATTTCTACGTAAACAACTTAATTTTTATTAAAAATATAAACGTACGTACAACACAAAACGAAACAAAAACAAAAATATTATCTTAATTTAACGCAACTTCAATTTAATAAATTTCTTCGTCGTCACTGTTCATATAGAAGTATAGTGTTGTACAAAGATTTTTGCAATTTTCTTATTGCGTTGGAGCAAAACCGTGTTATAGGATACCGTGTTGTAGGAGGGTTTCCGCAATTTATGAATCGTGTTATAGGATGCCGTGTTGTAGGAGGGCTACGAGTACTAATATAATAGGGAAATTTCGTTGCATTTAAGGGTTAATACCACCCGTATTTCACCGGCGACACACGATTCTGCTCGCGGTCGGCCTGTTATCGTACCAAGTTAAAATACGCACGCTTATCGAGACAAACGATTGATTACAAAAAGCGAATCCTCGACGATTAATGCCCGATTAATGTAATAACGGCGTCGAGTGCGATCGCTTAACGAGCACACGTGACGCATTGTTCTCCGTTGGTAAATTAAACAGCGTTACCCCCTCGGAACGCGGCGCGTCCGTTCTTAAAGCTCGGGGAACAAACCTCGCTTTATCCCTAAAAATGAAAAAAGTTTGCAATCTGCCGATAGCACGGAATCGCTCTCAGCGAACTTTGCAAAATCAACCTCGTCGTTATACACGATCGAAACGAAAGTTTCCCGAGCGCACGCCTCGCATACCGACTTAACAACGAAGCATTGTATTATTAATTGTCGGCGCACACAATGGAAGAAAGTTTCGCGTTCCATTTCGCTCTCGATAAAACTATTTCGGCGATTAAACCGGTCCTCGACACGGAAACGCAGTAATATCGGCAACTTGGGCCGAGCTGATGGACAATGTGCACGCGCGTGACCGCGAACACAGCGCGAAATAACGAACGGAATGTCAGGCTGGACCGAAATGGTCGATCGAGTCGTTAAAAGATTAAATCATTCTTGAATAATCCGAGTGGCTGGCGTAACCGGCATCGTTATTGTGCCGCGGTACGGGATTGCGAAAATGAATTATTCGATTACTATAGCCGTCCATTCGACGCTGACGCGTATAGGTGCGTTCGGTTGTCCCGGTGCGTGCGAGACAAGCTGCAAATTCGATTACGTTAGAAACAGCATTTGGCGCTCAGCCCCCATTAGCCGTGCATTGGTTACTTGCCCGATTAATTTGTCGCGGATTCACTGTCGCGGATTCACTGCCGCGGATTCACTGTCGCGGAGCGAGCGTGTCGTTGGAAGGTACGCATCGTAGATCGCGGGAAGATCGATAGACCGACCGGTTATTAAGGTGGTGGGTAGATAATTAAAGGGGTAAACGCGCGGAAATCCGGCGCGAGTGGTAGATACGCGATTTCGATAAGCGTTTAAGCTGACCGTGACCGCATCGGGTAACAAAGACAGGTGACACAGACGAGTATAGCAGAGACAGGTGAAAGAGGGTGGAAAGTGTCACGGAAGGATCCGGTGAGTCGCATGAATCAACGATAGAGGTGGGTGCAATCCGCGAAGTAAGCTGGATCGTTAGGATGCCACCCTCGAGCGACGCGATAAAATTGCGGGTGCAGGAAGAGATACAAAGGGTTGCTATATTTTAATTATGGAAAGATCTCATTAGAAAAACGGCGGTGAGTCGCGTGATTTACGCGGACGCGCGGTGCGTTTATCCGCGAATTTGCATATCGCGTGTACGGGATCGCGTATGCTCGCAGGACGAGCGAGTTGCCTAAGCGGAGGCGCAAACACGCCGCGTGGTTCGGGCAGGAAGAATTACACGGGTCGATTATTTGCTTTCCTCCGGCTGCTCGATCCGACTGCTGACGATCAAACGACGAAGTTGGAAGGGCGAGTATACACGGAGAGAACGAGAGACTCGCGTTCTTCCTTTTTCGTCCGCGAATTTATATCCAGCCCCGACAACGCGAGATTACTCGGAAGTTATACGGCGTATCTAACATTCGTTCGTTCCTTGCCGGTTCGGCCGCGATAGCTTCGCGCACCAGTTTCGCAAAACTTGCAGGCAAAACTTGCCAAACGCGAGTTCGTTGCCCTCTTCCTGTCGTTATTTATTTACGTTTTGTTTGCCCGCCGGCGGGAAAGGAATTCGCGTTCGAATATAGCCGGGGTAGACGAGCTGCAGGGAGCGAGAGAGGGTGACAGAGGGAAAAAGAAGGAACGGTAGAAAAGAGCGAGGAGGAGGAGAGGGAGGAACTGGAATAAATATCGTTCGAGTTAATAGGATATTCGGTGGCGAGAGGTGCTCGGCTATTGTCTGATCCAGCGTTCGCCTCGTCCCCTGGCTTCTCTACAAAGACCAGACCGATTGCGAGAGGGTAAATTCGAACCTCTTAGGGGTTGATCGATCGCCACTAGTCTAAGCACTTCAAATAGCGTGATCGTGGTATGCGAGCAGGAA